GGAGGTGAGTGTGCACTGAGGAGGAGAGCAGACTGTGAGCGTGCAGCTGTGCCCCTGCAGAGGTGCGTGTGCACTGAGCGTGTGCCGATGCACAAAGGCCCCCTCTGAACTCAGGAAGTGCCATGTGATGTGTGTGCCATCGTGCGTGCCGGGGAACGGACATGAGAGGAGGACAATGCGCACGTATCTTCACGTGTATCGTGCTGGGGAAAGGTCAGCAAGAGAGCAGAGCCCTCAGTGAGCTGGACCGACACGGCGACAATGGCTGGGACAGGGCAGAGGGTGAGGACGGTGTAGAAGGTGCAGAGCTGCTGCTCAGCGGGTGAGTGACTGTGTGTGTACGGATACACAGGAAATGAGATGGAAGTGTGATTGTGTGTGTACAGTGTGCACACTGGGAATGGCATGTGGATGCAATCATGTATGTACACGTACACCCGGGAGTGACAAGAGGGTGTGACTGTGTGTGTACACATGTGCACTGCACAGTGACATGACAAACAGCTGTGTGTATAGTGTACACAGGCATGGTGTGATTGTGTGTGTGTACACACGTGCACTGCAGAGTGACACGACAATACGGCTGTGTGTACAGTGTGTACAGTGTGCACAGAGGCAAGGTGTGATTGTGTGTGTACACACGTGTACTGCACAGTGACATGACAATACGGCTGTGTGTGTATAGTGTACACAGGCATGGTGTGATTGTGTGTGTGTACACATGTGCACTGCAGAGTGACACGACAATACGGCTGTGTGTACAGTGTGCACACAGGCAGGCTGTTGATTGTGCATGTTCACGTCTGCACCCGGTGAGTGACGTCTAACATGTCACATGAGGGCTGCGAGCAGCTCAGTCTTCCCATGAACTCAACACCTAGGTGAGCAGAGGTGGTAGGAAGTGGAGCGTGAGGGCCGGCAGGTGAGGCCGCCAGAGCGACCCTGCAGGACAAGGCCCACCTCCAGGTCCCTGTCAGCCACCATATTGTGACTTCCTGCAAGGGACCGGCTCCCAGGGCCTCAGTTTCCCCTCTCAGAGCACAGTGCTAGATTCTCTCTCCTGTTCCCTGGAGAAAGGGTACCGCACCGTTCGCGGGGCTGCTGGGGGCCCGGTGGGAAAGGGTCAGGGCTCACTTGCGGATGCTCTGTGACAGGGAGGCCTGGCGGCGGAAGCCAGGGCGCTTCTCGGAGCTGCTCTCAGTCCATCGTCCCCGGGGCTCCTGCAGGCTGATGCTCTTCAAGTAGGCAGGGTTCTTGGTCCTCTGGAGGAAGGCGGGCGGGAGGTCAGGGTGGCACCATGTGCTGATCTGTGACCTCTCACATGCCAGGCTGTGACCCGGCCTCCTCCTCCCTGGCCTCCCAGTGTGAACAGCCGGTGAGAACAGGCCTCAGCCCCAGTGTCCTCCCACGGAGCTGCTTTCATTTCAGATGTAAAATGCAGACACTGCAGCCCCCGCCCAGGCCTATTCCTCAATCCTGACCCCTGTTTGCATGTTCCAGAGCTCTGGGGGTGAGCGTGGGGACACTGTGTCCTTCATGCCCCAGGCCACACAGTGGGTCACACAGGGGCCCACGCAGCATGCGTTCTCTGGGGTATCGTCCAGTCCCTGCTTTGTTCTCCCTCCACTGGGGAGCTGGGAGCTGCAGTGTCAGGCCACCAGCTGAAGTTACACTGTCCCCACTCAACCAGGTCATGGGCAGCCATTTCCCTCTGAAACACCCCAAAACCCAAACCTATTTCCTCCGAGCTGATTATGACCTCTAACCACCCCATGTGTCACACACAGCTCTGTGCTCTGAGGCCCTTTCTTTCTTTTTTTAAATTTTTATTATTATTTTGTGTGTGTACCGTCAAATCAGGTCTGATTGGTACAGGAGATTATCCCTCCTTCTCCAGCAGAGCATCTGGTGGATCTGAACCGCGTACCTCTGGGATTGCAGTGCAGCTTCTTGCCACTAGGCCACCAGAGCTCACCTCGGAGGCCCTTTTTAGCTATAATCTTTATGGAAGCAGATTGCCAGACTTCCTTATGCAGAAGCCTTAGGGGGATTTGAACTGCCAACCTCAAGGTTGCCAATTGCAAACAGACTGCTTAAACTACCCACCCAGGCACTGAGGCTCTTCTTAGCAAAGATGAAGTGAGAAGAGTTGTCCCAGGCAAATGGGCAAGCCCTTCCTCGGGGACAGCAGGCCCTCTGAGCTCTCCGCCCCTCCTGAGCTCTGGGTCTCCCTTACCAAGCCCTTCTTCGGGGACAGCAGGCCCTCTGAGCTCTCCGCCCCTCCTGAGCTCTGGGTCTCCCTTTTGGTGACATTTCAGTCCCAGGAAGGAGGGGGCGGAGGCCCGCGTGGAGTGCTGCCTGCAGCTGGGGCTCAGGAAGGAGCCTCTTTTCCAGGAAATGAAACCACCCAGGAGGTGTCCTGGTGGCATCTGTGCCCAGAGGCAGGGCGGTGAGGTCACAGGATGCCTCCTTACCTCAGGCAGCATGCACTCCTGCTCGCCCGCGCCCTGGTTCTCAGGTGGTGGGATGGTGATGGACAGGTTGGGGGGCTTCCGGCTCTGCAGGCGGCTGTTGGAGGATGAGATGCTCCCGCCATTCTTGTCTGCAGAGGCCATGGTAGGTGGGGAGACAGGGGGCTGCGTGGAGACAAGGAGGAGGTGTGGGCACAGTGACAGAGCTGGAGGGGCACGCACATGCCAGCACCAGGTGCCAGGCAGAATGGGCCAGAGCAAACCAGCTTCAGAGACCAAGAACTTGACTCTGACCACATGACAACACCCCATCTGTGTCAGTTCTCCAGCGCTGTTGCAGCCAAAATGCCGTGGGGGTGGGTGGTATGGTTCTAACAAACAAATGTGGCAGAGTGGCCTACGCAGACTTAGACTGGATGTGTTCCCCAAAAAGAGGCATTACGGATCTGAACCCCTCTACTTGTGGCTACAAACTCATTTGAGAATATGGTTTTCTTTGTTAAACAAATAAGACCATATTAATATAGAATGTATCTTAAACCAGTCAGCTCCGGGATAGAAAATGGTCAGACTGAGCAGAGATAAGCAGAGAAGGGGGAAGACAGAAGCCAGACCACATGAACATCAGGAAGGAACAGATGTTAAAGAGAGACAAGGCTGAGGGGGGAAAAAGAGAGAGAGAGAGAGACACACACACACACACACACACACACACACACAGAGAGAAGGCTCTTCCCCTCGAGCCGAGAGGGTGAGAGTACATGCCCCTTGAAAGTGGGCATCCAGCCTCCTAACTGGTCAGAGAATAAATTTCTGTTTGATAAAGCCACCCCCTTGTGGTATCTCTGTCATAGCAGCACTGGAGAACTGAGATCGATGGTATTTTGAGAAGTTCTCTTTCTGGTTTGCTTCATTTGCATCCTAGACCAGTAAGGCCTGAGGAGGTCCCATCCTTCCAGCTCATTTCACTTTCGATCTCTCTGTTTCAGGCCAAAACAAACAAGGGTTCTGAGGACAAAGGATGAGGTGCTGGCCAATGTCTGGCAAGGTGGACAGGGACAACAGGCAGCTCCCCACAGACAGAGCTGTGCCAGAGAAGGATGGGAGAAGATTCCTGAGTACTCTGCTGTTCGAGCCACAGTAAGGTGTCCCCGCCATGCTGGGCACCGGATGCAGGTTCAGGGACCAGCTTAGTGGGGACAGATGGTGCCCTAGTCCCAGGAAGATGAGAGGGCCATCAAGCTGCCCTCAGTCCTCCAGACAGGAGTGAGGTGCATCACGTGAGCTACTTTCTTTTCACAATAGAAAACCATTTTCATGATGAAGTGAGACATGTTCATTGTAAAAAAAAAAGTAAGAAATCAATATAAACCAGAAAAAGCAACAAGGAAAAGCTTATGAAGCAGAAGGTCAGAGCCTGGCCTCGTTCTCCAGGAAGAGAACAAGCACGTGTGTTTCTCTCCACACGTCTTTACACCTGCAAACAGACTTGAAAACGTCACCCACATCCTCACTATACACACACACTCAGACCTACTCTTCTCTTTCAATGTCACGAGCATCTCTCCTTGTACCGCCCTTCTTGGCACATACAAAGATTTCATTTGTTTAATTCCTTATTGATGACTACTGGGTTTCTTTTTATGGTGATTTGCATGGAAGTTTACAAGAGTAAATTCGTTTTCCACTCAACTGTTTATACCCACTCGGTTTTATGACACCAATTACAACATCCTCCAGTAACTTCGTCCTTCCTCTTTCCTCCCTGTGATTCTCATTTTCATTAGTCCTTCTACCCCTGCCTGTCTTCTCAGCTTGGTCTCTGTTGTTAGGCTCCATCATGTCAGCTCTGACTCACAATGGTCCCACGTCCAACAAAACCAAACTCCGCCGGACCCTGCGCCGTCCTCACCCTCTGCCGTGCATAAGCCCACTGCTGCCATCACTGTGTCTATCCATCTCGTTTGGGATCTTCCTCTTTTTAACTGATCCTCTGCTTTTCCAAGCATGCCTGTCTCCAGGGAGCGGCCCTTACTCATTTCATGCCCAAAAAAAGACGTGAAAGACCAAGTCTCAGCATTCTTGCTTTTCGGCAAAGGCGGCCTTTTGGATTTTACGTGGCTGAGTATCTAAGTGCCGAGAGCTCTGGGGGGCTCCTCTTCACCTTCTGGCCTGTCTCTCGTTTGTTCAGCTGAAAGTTAAATAACAGTTTGGAAGGGTGACGGAGAGCCGCAGACTCAGGGGTTCCACCAGTCCCCACTGGACGGTAAGCCTGGTCTTTCTCCGGTTTCTGAGTTCTGGTCTGCATTTTGGGGAATCTTCTACTGTCATCCCTTTCCGTCAGCAGTGGGAGCAATGTCTGTCTCGTTCCTCTGGTCTTGGGGTTGCGTCCGGTGCTGATGGTTACTTGGAATCCTCCTGGAGTGTGAAGCCCCTGCCGAGTGCTGGGCTGAGAGCGTCCTGTCACACAGAGGTGGTGCTCTGCCCTGGTCCAAACCCTCACTAGCCCTGGTCCTACGGGTCTCAGCAAGATTGGCCCCCTCTGTGCCTCTCCAAACTGTCACCAGCTCAGGCCTTGCGGGTCCCAGCAGGACTGGCTCCCCCGAGAAACCAGTCCAGGCTCTGCGGGTCCCAGCAGGACTGGCGCCGTCTGTCCCTGTCATTTTCCCCATCCTCCTCTGGCCCTGTGACCTTCCTTTTGCTAAAATCCTCAGCTGTCCGTCACTCCCACCTCCCACAGCAGGCTGGTTTGGTTGTTCCTCCCCCTGTCTGAGGTCAGAGACTTCACACTCAACCCCCAGCGTGGGGGCTGACCTGGGCTGACACAGACCTGGGGAAGGGTGAGTGGGAGCCCGTTAGCCAAGGGCATGTGGGGCCAAGTTATGGGGCAGCAGAGAAAAGCAGCAGAAAGTAAAGATGCAAAACAGCTGCACAGTTGAGTCTAACTCACAGCTGCCCGGTGGGCACAGGAGAGCCGCTCCGCAGGGTTGTGAAGGCTGTGACTTCTCAAGGAGAGAGCCAGGCCTTTCTTCCAAGGTGTTTCTATGTAGATTTGAACTGCCAACCTTTCAGTTAGTAGTTGGTACTTTAACTATCTGTAGCATCCAGAGGCAGCCACCTTTATTCTGAACCTGTCCCTGTCTCTCCCTCTGTGACCTGCCACCTTCTCTCACTCAGATGACCACCACCCTCCCACCTCCTCCACCTGCTGTCCTTCGATTCCCCCCGACTCCCCACTGTGCAAACAGCAGCTGGAATGGCCCGTTCAGAGCCCAAGTCACATTGTTGTTGTTGTT